GCTACATGAAGTTTTCACTTTTAGTGATTAAAAGTATCAAAAAAGTTACCATACAAAATATCTACTACAAAAAAATGTCTTTCGACATTACATCCAGTACATATTTCACCAAAGAAATCTTCTATACAGAACAAAAAAAATAGTCTAGAAAAAGTCTCGGAAAGTTTTGCTACCGGCACTTTTATATCGAGACTATTCGAGACCGAAACTTTCGAGACTCGAGACTATTCGAGACGGAAACTTTCGAGACTCGAGACTATTCGAGACCGAAACTTTCGAGACTCGGGACTAATCGAGACTAAAGTTTCGGGTATCGAGTACCCCGTCTCGGTGCATCCCTAGCAGGAAATCTTTTTTCTCTTATAAAGCAATTCTCTTGTATTGATAAATGCTAACATCATTTACTATCACAGTGTAAGTTTTGCACTGCAAAAGTCCCATGAAAAACAGAAAATTCGGTTTCTCATCAACAACGTGTGATGAAAGTCTGAAATATTTACAGTATAGTAGCTAGAGATAAGGCTACCATTGCTACAAAATTAATTTTTTTAATTCAACAGCTTTTTGTTCTGAAGACAACTAAGTGTTAATCATAGATATGAATTTTGAGTGCAATCTAGTTAAGAATTACACATGATAGTAGAAAACAATGAATGAAAGAATTCAAGAACATATAAACGAGATCTCTAGAGAGTTTGCAAACGTTTTATAGAAAACTGGGTTGCCAGAAGAGCATCCGAAATAAAACGTTGTCGAACTGTGTGTGATGTGTAGTGAGCCTTGTAGATGGTGACAAGAGCAGTGTGAGAGTGAGTACGAAAAGTATTTTCACACAAAGATATGCGCACGACATGAAATAGACGAATAATCAGTCGGGAAACTCGAAAATTAACCCTATCAAATGTCTGTGTACTCATACAAAAAGAATTTACTCGTCTAAAGAACTATTTGAAAAATAATTAGAATATTATATATGTATTTTCTAAAACCATGTTGGATCATTTTCCACCAGAAACCGTCTCTCGTCCTTTATCTGTGCATGTTTGTAAATGTTAACCTTTATTGCAACAATAAATAAATTGAATGTGAGACTATCACAATGACGATGATGGAGATGAAACTCTTTGTATAGTTTTAGAAATTATTACTGTTTGATGATTGTTCAGTACAAATCGCTTTGAATTTAAGAATAAAGGAAAGGTCCTGTTCATTTTTGTACAAACACCACAGTTGTAAAGAAAGGTAAAAAGTCTCCTGTATCCCGTCTGAATCAAATGCTTCTGAATCAATTAAAATGTCTTCTATCGAGAGATTTTGTGCATCTTTGTGCATACACAAAATATACGCACATGTAGTACAGATGCTCCATATCTAGAAGAACAAACCTTAAAAGTTTCAGAGAAAACAAGTGATGGCTATGGATGGCGCGGTCACTTTACTAAGAACGCCTGTTGGGAAAATACTTAGCAAAGGTTAGAGTAAGATCGCTCTTGATTGTAATTAAGAGTCACTGCTCCAGTGGAACAGCATTTTTGGGTACCAGTTGCTCAATCGATGTTTGAGTTTTGGGCTCAGGATTTTACCGTACGTAGAGGCAACATATATAGGAAGATTCCCAAATATTTTTCATTCGGACTTACTTCGTTAAAAAGTTTTATAGCTTTTCATAGAAGCCCTAAAAATAGCCTAAAACGATATGTAGGTAAAGTTATCGACATATTCGTGTTTTTCCATACCATATTCATTTGCTGATCTGTGCCAATTCGCTCTTTTGTTTTGCTAAAAAGAGCTCGTCGAGCTCTCTTAGAAAACATATAACGGCAACTGAATATTAATATTAAATATTTATCTGATTGATATGTACATTTTTGGAGGTCGTGATAAATCGGTTCAGTTTGAGTAAAGATGTCTTTTTTTTTATTTATATTTTTGGATTCTATATTTATATTTGGATTTTTCACAGCAATAATTCAAAACTGAATTTGTAGGAGAAAGAGATTTAGGATCGTAGATACAAATTTTTCTCTTTTGATTAGCGAGAGTTTTCTGAAAACGTGTTTCACTATTACATGCATAGAAATGGTAATGTAAAATCTCTTTAATGCTACCATGTATTATGTATATTCTTAAAAACATTTATCTTGACATTATTTTCTTTTTTCATTTCAAAGACAGTAAATCTATGCTAATTAATTAATAGTTGGTAATATTTCTAAAAAATCTGATGATTTAAATAAAAGAAATGAATTTTATTTTTGCAATATTATTATTAAGAAATCGAATTTCTTTTTCCTCGAATACTTCAGAGATATAGATGTTCATGATTAGCAAATTATTTTTTTTCTTGTTTTTCTATTTTAATTTTCTGAAAGTTTTAACAAAAACATACATGACATATAATTATGTTCGTTTTGCTCGTCTTCGATGTTTATTTTAGTTCTCTCTTCCATAATTTTTCATTAATAATCATTTCAAGTTCATTTGATTGATATTGATTATCATCATCAGTTTCTTGTTGATCGTCAGTGTAAGCATGTTTGTTAAAAAATGGTGTTTGTTCTATATGTGAACCACTTAAATGGAATAAATATTTGAATTAGTTAATTTTTTTGAAGAGTATCTTCATAAAATTGTTCAACATCTTTTATTTGTATCACATTAATTGGTAAACGTGATGTCGTCATTAAAGAAAGACTTGTTTGTTTTCATTTCCATAATTTTTCATTAATAATCATTTCAAATTCATTTGATTGATATATTAAAAAACTTGTACCTACAGAAGATAAAATAATATCTTTAGCAGCAAATATTACATATTGATCACGATTACATTGAATACTAGTCCCACCTAAATACATAAAAAAAAAGAAGAATGTCATTTGAATGATTTAGTTAGAATAAAATTTACCTGCTGAAGATAAAACAATATCTTCAGTGGCTTCTTCTTCTCCAATTGCAAGAATTTCAACAGTTGGTCCACGAAGCTGAGGTGGATCTTGAAGACGATCATTGATATGATTTTGAAAAACCCTGTAAAAAATTCATCTTTTGCATTTATATATAATAAAAAACAGACTACTTACTCCAAGTTGATTGTTTTTAAGAGCTTTTTCATCAAATTGTTCAACATCTTTTGTTTGTATCACATTAATTGGCAAATGAGATGTCGTCATTAAAGAAAGACTTGCTCGAGCATTATTAATTATCTAAAAAAACATAACAATTATTAAACAACAAAGGGCAAAATAAAACTATCAACTAACATGTTTAACATCAATTCTTGCAATTTTATCGATCATTGTCGTTTGTCCAACATCTAATAGAATATTCACTGGTCGAATAACAGTTGAATGATGATCAAAATAAGAAAGTTCTTCTCTATTACTACTATGCGTTCCAAAATACAAGACAGTCAGCCACTTTTTGAATAACTTTTGATAGAAATAAGATAGAGATCTGCGATTTTCGCTGTTCAATAGCCAAGACTTGAGCAGAACTTTGTACAAGCGGAAGCAACTTTTGAGAAAATTCCAGAAATCGGATTTCTAGAGGATCTTTGGAAAACCAGCTCCGTTCTCAGAAAACTAACATACAATGTTAGTAATTTTTTTTGCATGCGTAGATAGTCCGGACGTTACTCTAC